AGTAGCAGGACTTGGAAATTGTGCAAACAACTATAAACTGAAGCCGTATTGTAATTAATGGATGCATTGACAGATTTAGTCGTCACGTAGCTAATTTGGATGAAAGCATATTACACTAAACTACTTTTTAAACACAGACACATGGCTGTACACAGAAGGTGTGAGGAAAAAAAGGAGGAAATGAGGAATGGAAAATGGACACGTCATGTAAGATTATGATTTTTTTTCTCTCAAAATATTACGAATTTAATCTCGTAATATTACGACTTTATTCTAGTGCTGGGAGGTATATCGGTTCGTACCGAATACCGTTTTTTATTTTTGTTATGATATGAATTTTCTGAATACCGACATACAGGTTTATATAGTCTGAACACGTTCGGAACGTTTGGTCGCGGCTGCCAGTGAACTGTTTCCTGGGGGACACTTTTCCTCGCAGCACCGCTATGTGCGTTAGCATGCTAATGTTATTTTTCAGCAGTTTGTTGCAGCGGTGGGTGGAGACTCATCTGCTTATATTGGCTGACGTTAAAAAACATCCCGTTTTCGCCATCGCTGAATGTAGTAAACACCTCTTCAGTGACGTGCACGGTTAGATTAAACACGCGACTTTGATGTGGAGACGTGGAGACGCATGGAGACTAGCGTGGTTCAATTGTGAAAGGCCCGGGGGAGAAGTTTTGTAGTGGAATTGAGTTGACTGGTGTGCAGAGTGAGTTGTTCTGTTATTCTTTAATAAATAACTTAAAACAATAGACCTGATAATAATCTTTTCTTAACCCTCCTCCTTCACGACTGGACCAAAATGCGTGACTACGGTCTCCAACCAGGAGTCAGAGAAAAGACACACAGAGGAGGGAAACAGTGACACAGAGAGGTACAGTTTAAAAAAAGTTAATGTGGTGGAACTGATACTTTTATGTTTAAGCTAGTTATTCATGACATCTTTTAATGACCTAAGTTTTCATGACATGCTGTTCATCTGCAGATAGAATGATTAAAGTCAGAACAAGATTTGCTAACAACAATAATCATTCTTAGATATCACTTGTGCTTATCTTTGTGTTTTCCGTTGACCTTGTATCAAATCTTGCTAAGATGACAGAATGGTGTTTGTTAATATATATGAGGCCTCCCGAGACACAGTGAGTAGTGTGGAGAGACAGTGACRGAGAGAAKCAGAGGCACAGAGACAGGCCAGGTTGTTCTCTGTGTTTCCTGTTGTTGCAATAAAACTCAGCTGATCATCTCACGGAGTACCTTCATTCTTGGACCACTTATTTCTGTCTTTGTTAAATAAATATTGCCATAACAGCTAATAAGCAGTGTTTGTACATTTTATTATCAGCTGGCCTGTGATGAAAAGAAAAATACCGTGATATACCGTCAAACTGGTGTAAATGTTGAAAATACCGTGATAAAAAATTTTGGTCATACTGCCCAGCACTACTTTATTCTTGGAAAATTGACTTTAATCTCATAATAATTATGAAAAAAAATCTTGTGTGGCCCTAATACTCCATCGTAGTTTAGCATTAGATTCATGTAACTTTTAATATGTTTAGCGGTTTAGCATTATTAGAACTGTATTTCAGTTAGTTGTGCCCAACACTAGATTTAGGTAACAAAATAAATCTAGCTCGGCTATTTGTTTTCTAATAGAATAGTCAACTCATTTTCTTTTCAGCCTGCAATAAACCCATTATCGATAAGGATTTCTTGTTTATTTTTGTTTTGGGAAAACAAGGTTTTGTTTCTTTTGATACACCTAGTATCGTGTCAGGAATATCCAGTTAAGTCATCACTTTGAAACAAGATTCATCTCAAGACTGATGTAAATAACTCATGAAAAATGTTGTGAAGTTAAACTTTACACCACAGCCACTCTCTGCTTCCATACAGTGCTTTGATTTAGGTTTATATGGTTTTAGGTTTTACTCAAGATTGCTACCTATTCTTCACTGCATTTGGTCATCACATTTCACTTCTGCATCTACGAAACGTCACTTTTGTTAAAAAAATAAACACACGCCAAAAAGCCCAGGATGTCAAGAGTTTACTTCCTTTGATTGGAGCATTGTGTTTGTGATCACGGTCAGACGGTTCAAACACCAGACATTCAAATGACATTCTTAATTAAACAATGAAATCTAAGATAATTCAAATTAATTTTAAAGGTTTTAAATAGTGGTTTGACTGATGTTTTGGAAATCCGATTAATATGTACTCCCATCTTAGAGGAGCGGATATTTTGTTGCTCATACACACAAGTATGGTTGTGTAACCTTGGCTTGGCTTTTCAAGTTTAATCAAAGAAGTCACAGAGGTTGCTAAAAAGGAAACACCTTTGCTGAGGAATCGCCAAGGAAAAATTTCCCCCATCGACACGGCAGCCAGCAGACACCTATTTGTTCCATCAGGATGGTACACCTGCAAAAACCAAACACTTAATACATACAAGACCCAGACTTTTAGTTGTTTAAAGAAATAGATTTTTTAGACTTCCTAAAAGTTTTTGTCAGACTTAACATTATTTTCTTTAAACTTCTTTGAAGATGACAAACAGCAAATTAAAAAATAATCTGATAAAAGACCTGAGAATTACATCATTCTTCAGCTATTTATTAATTTAAAGCTGCTGTATGTAGTTTCTTGGGAACCCAAAAACTTAGAAAAATTTTGAACAGAAACAACCTTGTAGTCCCTCCCCCTGCTCTCAGCTCCCCTTCCTAGGCTCCTCCCCCACAGCAGGGCCCAGAGCCGGGAGCGCGCACCTTGTAAACAGGAGGTGAGCCACGCCGTAACACACAAAGCTCAGAGCTAAGCTGCCGTCACAGGTAAAAACAAACCATCAACAATATATTTTTAACTATC